GGTGAAACTGTACACGTTTACACAACAAAACTAAACTCAAGAGCGGCGTTTCCCCCATCCTCAAAAGACACAGGTAAAACGGACAAAAAGGAACACTTGCAAATTGTAAAAACAAAACAAGGTTTTACAACATACGGCACACAAAAGCTCCCACAGCCACGGACAACTTACTAATGCGAGCATTGGGTAAGTTGCACCTTCGCACTAACACGAACAATTTAATATAATGTATATATATAATATAGTTTTTATCAATTATAAAAACCTTGCAGCAAGTTCCACACACCAAAGCCGACGTTCTTTGAAAGCATATATCTACAGACGCTACAATTACCGAAATATTGATTTGCATAGCAAACAGCTTTGGTTGGAAGCGTGAATAACTCGCGATATCGTTCCATACGGTACTTGGGGTGAGAGGGTGGCAGGAAATGCAAGGGTGGTACTTTTATACACGAACGCGCACACGCACGCACGCGCGCTACAATGCCGCTGCTGCAACAAAAAAAAACACAGTAAAATTACAAGTCTTAAAAGCGTAAGACGGTACGTTTGCTACGGTTTAATTAATACGAATAAACGATCAGAGTATTATTATTTTGTTGTTGTTGTTGTTGTCTAACCACGACCGCGTGAGACTTTGTTGAAGTTTGCAAATGGTTTTGTTCTACAGAGGCGCGTGGGGTGATGCGTTGGGTGTCCACTACCCCCCGCCCCTCCCCTTGGGTGCCCCTCCCCTCCCGTATTTGGTGCAAAGCTGCACCAATACGGCTGCCCCCTGAACACGCAGAATGATGGAAAAACCTCAGCAGGGAGGGGGCGGACAGAAACTTAATCCCATTTATATTTTAGTTGTGTTGTTTTCTTCGTCTTCTCCTCCTCCTCCCCAAAATGTGTTTCGTTTTTATTGGAGCCAGTATTTTGGTTAAAAAAAAAACGTAAAAAAATGAATATCGATACGTAATGCGCGATAACGTTGTTGGATTTCACGCACGTGAGAGTCCAAACATTGTTTGTGAGAAAGCGCCTTAAATGAAAAAACGAATTAAAACGACAGGCCCCCGGGGGAAGACAACCTGTCGTAGCGTTCTGCGGGACAAACTTCGGGCCACTCGTTCCAAGCGCGATTTATCCCAAAAGAATTTAAATTACAAAAACGAAAACGTGGGGAATCGCGTGGTTACAAGATGCCACGGGCAGGGCCGTGAGCGAGACACCCGCTGGACGACGTGCTTATCGTCACCGTGAGAAGCGTCACAGCCGAGATTCGCGACATTGCGGTGCGAAGAGCGTTGTTGAGCAGCTAATTCGCGCTTGTGAAATCACTTCGTCTTCGCGAAAGAAATGCTGAAGTTCTTTGGAGCGTTTATTAATCCCTGACAAATGGCTTTTAATGAGCAATGCAGCAAAATGGATCATCACAACATCGGCACGGCGAACCGACCCAAAAACCCCTGTGATGTATCCAAGCATTATCGGTCAGTGTCACCCGTGTCTGTGATTTAACGGAATAAAAATCTATCAAACTATAAAACATTAACAGGGACTCCTCTACTTACGAACGAGTTAGGTTCCAGGTCTGTTCGTAAGTCGATTTGTTCGCAAGTCCAACTTGACTTCTGTCGGTTCCAAACATTTTCTACGGCGTGTACACGAAACATGGGGGGGGGGGGGGGGGGGGAAATGGCTTTAAAAAGAAGTATCATCTCCTGCAGATGCCACCACCGCCACCTATTGCACGGTGGCTGAACTTAACGACTGTCGGTCCCGAACAGGCAACTGGACATACGGACAGGTTTGTACGCATCCCTGAAAGTTCGTGAGTCGAATGTTCGTAAGTAGATGAGTCCCTGTACGTATACATTTTTTTACGCGTAATTTTAGGTACAACAACGGCTCTTTTGTATTTTTACAACATCATAAACTCCTCTATACACACATTACGGTCAATAATAGTTAAATAGTCCATGGGTCAGAGCAGAAATGGGTACCACCGGAGGCAGCGAAACTTTAGTTGGATTTTTTTCGGTAAAGTCACGTAGGTAAAAAATAAAATAAAAATTAATAAAAATAAAATAATGGTGGTTTTTATTACTATTCTTTTTATTAATTTTAATTTCATTTTTTACCTACGTGACTTTACCGAAAAAACTAAGAGTAGGAATCCTTGCAGTCACGAAAGCTTCAAATCTAGAATTTAGTTGGATTTATTTACACGGCCAAATAGGAGCCCAATTATTTGATAACCCCACTGATTTCTCATGGTTATCGCACAATTCACTCTTGATTGCTCCACGTAAATAAATTGGCACCGCAAACACAGCGATGCCACCTCCAGGTGAAATCTCTGGTCTGGGCTCACGGACTACACCCACTTGATTCTCAGGCATATGAATTGTGTGGGTTGTAACATTATATATATCAGATGCTACTTAGTTCTTATAAAACAGGATACAATAAGCCTTTTTTTTATTAAATGCCCTGTTACACACGTCAGCTTACGAGTCATTTTTTGGTGCTTACAACACAGTGGTACGATTCGGCTCGGCAACGGTTACAGTCCGCGCGAAGGGCTACGTTAATTTCGCCCACGTTAAAAAAACCTCCTGCAAAGCGAAGTTCAGATGAACCGTGAAGGTGGCGGGGACGTCCGCCCCTAGAGAACAACGCCGCTCCACCCTTAACGACTTAGAAAACCACCGTCCTACCGGGAGGCAGGCAAAGCCTGCAAAGTCGTTGGGATCGCAGTTTTGAAAGAGAGAGAATGGCCCAGCTCCTAAAAATGTGCGTTAATGTGCGGCCCCCATAAGGCAAATTAGCCGTAACTTGGCTCAGAAAAGAAAATGCGGAGGTCGTCTGTTTTGCGTGGCCAAATGTAAAATAACACTTTAAATGCATTCGCCCACGGGGCCATGCGGCGTTAATCTTTTTCCCAAACAGCATTTGTTTAATGCAGGCAAACTGTGGAGCGGTTTCAACTTTCCTGGGCCGTTCAACAAACGCCGCTTTTGGCCGTGAGGTCTTGGGGGGGGCAGCGTTGGACAAGCCTCTTGTGCCGACGGCTTGCGCGTCAATAAAGAACCAAAGAAAGCAAAAACACAGTCCCTGTCCGTACGTATTTACAAACAGGATGTGGCGCGTTGAAGGTAACATTCGAAGTGCGCGTGAGAAAGAAAATAAAAAAAGGAACGCGAGTGAAAACGGTTTTCCTCCCCAGCGACAACGCGATGCATTGCGAAGAAACGCGTTCTCGCAAAGCTCATAACAGGTGCAAGTGAGGGAGGATGAGGCTGCAAGGTGAGGAAAAGTGGCTTTTGGTGAGACGTCTTAGTCGCACAGATGCGGTCGTGACAGCCCAACGGAGTGGCTTATCATTGTGTGGACATTTATAGCAGCCAAATACTCTAAAAACGCGTGATGCTGAGTCTAAATGTGGAGGCGGGGGGGGACAGGAGGACCCAGAGAAAAATCCACACGGCTACGGGGAGAGAGAACGTGCAAACTCCAAATATACAGCAGGCGTCAGGGTCGGGATCGAACCCACGACCACCTGCAAACCAGGCGTGGGAGTTAACATCTCGCCAAATTCAGTGGCACGCAGTGGTGTGGTTAGTGCAGGAGAGGGGGCGGTAAGGGGGTCCCGGTCTCTCTCTCTGTGTGCTGGCCAATGTCTCAGTGGTCTACACGATTGTACATAGCAGAGGCAGCAGTGGTTCAATGAATCACACGGGCATTGCAAGAGATAATGAAAGTGAGAGTAGCATGAGATCAAATATATAAATAAAGTGAACAATCCCTTCGATGTTGCAGAACAAATCGACCATTCGCCACGTGTATTTGACGGGGAATTGTTTTGTCACTCAAGAGAAACTGATTTGTACAAATAAATACGGAGTACTTTGAGAAGTTACATCGAACCGACTGACAGTGAACGGCTAGAATTGTCAGATGATGTAACGGGTTTGTTTTCTATTCAAACTTGCGCGCAAATGTAAGTTACAATTTGAGAGAGAGAAAAAAAATATTGATTTAAAGCTTTCGTGACTGCAGGGATTCAAAATAATAAAAATATGTTTTATTATTATTTCCCTTCTACGTGACTTACCGAAAGAACCAGGAATAGAAAAAAAAATCGTATGAATGTTCGCAGTAGCGTCGAACACACGTCCAAAGTAATTGTCCCGAGTTTTATTTTGCTCACTTTTTGTTTACGCCTTGTTGACAATGCCCTCAACGTTTCGTGGTGATAGCCCGACCGAATCCACGCGTGTGCTTTTGTAATACGTCTTAAAAAACAAACATCATTCAATTGGGATTTCACACTTTTTACGAGGGTCATTATACACTGTGCCGAGTCTACTCTTAGGTTTTTTCGGTAAAGTCACGTAGGTAAAAAATTAAATTAAAATAAAAGTAAAATGAAAATAAAAAATCACGTTTCGGAGACAACACAGAGCGTTACTTGATACAGCAGTCGTGCTGTGACTGTTCCACCTGAAGACGGAAGCTTGTGTTGCCTCCGAAACGTCGTGATTTTTTATTTTTATTTTACTTTTATTAATTAAATTTTATTTTTTACCTACGTGACTTTACCGAAAAAACCTAAGAGTACGAATCCTTGCAGTCACGAAAGCTTCAAATCTAGAGTCTAAATGTGATGCATCCATAAGCTGGTATATAAAGACACGAGCAGGTCTTCACCCGTGAGTTCGAGCGATGGCTAAAAACCCGTCGACGGTTTAATTAACATTTTTGTTTTCTTGGTTCTTTCGGTAAAGTCACGTAGAAGGGAAATAATAAAATAAAAAAATAAAAACATAATAAAATAATTCTCACGACGTTTAGGCCACAACGCAAGCAGCCGTCCTCAGGTGAAGACCAGGTATGTCGGGGAGACACAGCGTCTGAAGCATTCAGAATTATTTAATTATGTTTTATTTTCCCTTCTACGTGACTTTACCAAAAGACCCAATAAGATGAATCCCTGCAGTCACGAAAGCTTTAAATCGAAATGTAACATTTTTTGTTTTATATTTTAGTGAGCCACGTCGCTTGACGGGTCGCCAACGATTCAGCCACGCACGCATCCACATCGGAGAGGCAACACGGCCGCACAATCCTCCACGCCGTCGGGTCCACAGCAGCAGAGAGATCTGTCAAGCAAGGAAATAAGCATGGGCAATTCCTCTCCCCCGCTTGGTGCACGAACAAGGCAACACAATTTCGTCCGTACGTATGGCGAACTTCTATCGCACCGTACGTAGCCAGCCGTGCTCGCCGGAGGTGCTAACGGAAAGCCACCTTTGACCAAAACGCAACTTTTTTTAAAAAGTTAATTTGTACAACAAAAACGATGTGTCTAAAGCGGCAGCTTAAAATAAACAATAGCAGAATATCGACAGAAATGTACGGATTACAGGAAACCCCTTACGTTGACATTTTACATTTTTCCACCGAGTGTACGGGGCGACAAATAGACAAAGGCGGAGGGGCGGGGTGGGGTGGTGGGCGATGCCTCGGTGAATTTTAATGAAGCGATACTCTTTGGTTCTTTCGGTAAAGTCACGTAGGTATAAAATAAAATAAATCACGACGTTTCGGGCGCAACACAAGCGTCCGTCATCAGGTGGTAAAGCACGAAAAAACCAAAGAGTATGGATTCCTGCAGTCACGAAAGCTTCAAATCAAGATTTAATGAAGCTACACGCAAAAAAAAAACACCGCGTCGATCACCACTGATTTCCTCTTTAAATGCGCCCAGCCTTCGGCCCCACTATTTATACGTGGGGCTGCACACGTTTAACTAGTGCAAAAACACAGTTTACGGGGGTCCTGACAACCTACGGATACGTTGGGCGAGCACAGCAAGAGGGAGCGACGCTTCGCACAAGCAGCGGGACGTTTTGGCCCCCCACGCAGAAAGCGTTCGGGTGCCATGGTGGTGGCGAGAAGTGAGCTACTCCGCCTGGGATGAAGGAGGTCGTGGGTTCGATCCCGATCTCGAGCCTGACGCCAAGCTGCACGCGCTTGGAGTTTGCAAGGTGTGTGTTTGTCTTTTTTCCCGTGGTCGGGTGGACTTTTCTCCGTGTCCCCTCCCGGTTTTTGTCCGTGCACATTTACAATCAACAGCGTGCTGTGAATTTCCACCTGATGATAAGCCACTTCGTCGAGCAATCATTTATAGCCACGTCGCTTCTGAAGAAGAGCTAAACAGCTCAGTGGGCCTAGATCCGGTAAAATAAAAAATAGTAGTAGCAGTTAGTAAATGGTCATTGGGGTTGTGACAATTAGTGACAACTTCGATTTACAAAATAAAAACGATTCTTTTGTTCGCGGGCAACGCATCGAAGGGCGCACGCAAGAATCCTTGCCCAACTCTTCCGTGCGTCGTATCTGGCTCGTGGGGAAGCTGCGCACGCCATCACGAATCGCGGAGCCCGTGACCGTGCGGATTAAAAAAAAAGGGAGAAAAATTCCACGTGGTTACGATGCTCTTGGGCGGCTCTGTAGAGCTCCCCCACCTAGAGGAGCACCCCCCCCTTCTGGTAAGCAACCGGCGTGAGCGACACAATGCAGTCCTGCGCCTTTAACTTCACCTTGCAAGGGCAGAAGTGGATTGAATCGACAAGGGAGATCACTCTCTCGTCACACGGGTTCTGCATGAAATTACGGTGCTTTATGCAAGTTTATCGTCCGAAAGAGTGGTTTTTAATAGTCACTCGATGTATGTCTTAGATCATTAAATAGCTTCTTCCTCCAATGGTTATAAGCTGTGACATATATCGGCTTTTCAGTCACAGAATTCCTCCCCGTGAGTTCAAGAACATTCTTAAAACTCCTATCGTTAACCTGAAGGGACCCTAAGGACAGACTTGGCGAGGCAATAAAAGTGTTTTTTTTTGGTGATCAAAATCCTTTCAACGTCATCAAACGAAACTATCGAACAGCGCGAGTTGGGGGGGCGCAGCGTTTGTATTTTAAGTGAAATGCAAAAACACGTAGGCTTTAGCGACCAACATTATTAATAAAGATTTTTGGCTGTGTCGGGTGGTGGAGGGTTACGACACATTTATTCTTACGCGATCTAACCCATAAACCTTCATTATGAAATGCAAAAACTGCCAACGTTATAACGTTACAACTGTAATATCGACTTATATAGCGCGGCACGGTATTCACTCACTCTCGAGGAAGAAAAACTCGGTAAGGTCGCCGTGGTGGCTGCGAGATGTTAACTACCTCGCCGGGTATACAGACACCTGTATACTTGGGAGTTTGCGTGTCTCTCTCCCCGTGGCCACGTGGATTTTTCTCCGGGCCTCCTGTTTTTCCCCGCTACATTTAGAATCAACGTGCGTTTAGAGTATTTGGCTGCTGTACATTTCGACATGATGAGCCACTTCGTTGACCTATCATTTGTGGCCAGGTCGCCGCTGAAAATAAAAGTCATATAGCACAGTGGGCCTTCATTGGTAAAAATCCAAAGTTTTTTTGGTTTTTTACTCGGGAGTCGCGAGAAACCGCGGTAAGGAGCCGGCGCCACCGGCAATTGCCCAAGTTCTGGTGTTCTCTATACACGACGGTGATATCGGCCAATGAATGAGCGCCTAACATGTAGGGAGGAAATCACAGCGCCCGGAGAAAAACCTCATGCGGGCGAGTGGGGGCAGAAAAACTCGACAGATGAACTTTGTTTACAATATAAACTTTGCTTAATTCGTGTAAGTCCTTTGAAATGCCATACAATAGATTATTTTACTTTAACAAACACGAGTGAAAATGTAATGTATTTCCAAATAGCATGCTATTCGGACGTATATACTGTCGTCATATTGACGGGAGTGGCAGACGTCCTAAAATATTCAGAGATAGCTCGTAAAAAAAAAACCCTAATGCAGCAAATATTTGCGTTGTTTTTGAAATCGGTTGCGCCAGAACGCAGCGGTTGAACATTACCATCGCTGAGTGGACACACGAGGAACAAACATCATCTTGCCCCCTCGAGACAGCGGAATAACAGCGACCGGTACTGTGGTTATCACGTAGTGGCTTCGGAGATAGTGGGAGCTAGTGGCTCTCTGTGTGTGTCTGTGAAGCAACACGGTCACGCTTGAGGGAAAATAAAGTAGTTTGTTGTAATGAAAGTAACAAAATATATACACTACTAATGCCAAGCTTTGCACATAACATCTTGGGGGGGATATCCTATATTACAACGTTTGCTCTAACATGGGCTTTGGTTGAATATTTGTGGAAAGTTTCACACACATCCTGAACATAGGCCTCCTCGTTGTAGTTTAAATAAAATATTGCCAAAAGGCGGTGGCCAAGTTTCGAGTAAGGCGAAGAAAAACCGAGGACCTCATCAATGTTTAAATTTAGTTGCACGTAATAACATCAGCGACAAACGCCGATATTGTCTTTCGGAAACCGTTGAGAGGCCGAATCGGAGGAGGAAGCCTGCCAACGATTGGAGCAAGCGACGAACTTGAGCCGCGTGCGTACGATTCAGTGACGGGAGGCGAAAGACATGTTCAAATGACGCATCGGGAAGGCCTCTACCGCGCTATCCACGACAGCGACCTCCTCGAAGGACGGCATTTTCCTGCGGAGTTTTGTCGATTCCTGAGACGGTGGCGTGAAGAATATTCCCCATTTTTTATTTTTTAAAAACGATCCCCCTTCCATGAAGTTCATTTTTTTGTGTCACGGACGCAAACGCACGGTAGAATATTTTTGCCAAGTGCGTACGCGCGGCGACGGAAAATAAACGCGGCGATTACATTTAGAACGCAAATGTTACGCGACGGTTATTTATATCGGCGCTAGCGGGATGAGTAACATCAACGCCACTTGTATGCCCAGGTCGTCCTGTTATTCGAAAGCACATTTTAACGTAAGCAAAGTTTTACATCCATTTGTTGTTGTTTTTTTACCAGTAAGCTCACTTTCTTTAAAAGGCACTTTTAAGAGTTAGTTGAAGAAAATGAATTTTGCCAACAGAGACTCGTGCTGCTTTCTTTGAAGTGTATACTAAGAGAGAGAATGTGCGCATGTCAAATCACTTTTCAATCCTGAAGTTCTTCAACGACATCCTAAAAGGAAACCTCGTGACATTTCTTTGGAAACATACGCACACGCGCGTTGAACTTCTTTCGCACCGTACGTAGCCAACCGTGCAAATCGGAGGTGCGTGGAAGGAAATATAAATGGTGAGAAAAACGGGATGCGTTTACGCGCGGGCAGAGACAGAAACGCCGCTTGCGTGTACCATTCTCGAGTAACGCGCGTTCCGCTTCGACGAACTTCTTGGGAAGCTCCAAAATTCCAGGTGAGAAATGAGAGAAATTAAATTGATGCAAATCGTTTTTTCCGTGCCACGGTTGGTCAAAAAACGCCAATGGAAAGTTGGGCGCCTCTTTAATGAATCGTTCAATGGCAATTACGTTTTTTTAGTTTTCAAGCCTTCTCACATGTTTGCATTTCGTACGCAATCTATACAATTGCACGGCTGGTTAGGCTTTCTGCGGCCGCACTGCATGTACGTCGCGCTTATCCTTCCGCACCGTACGCAGACACCAACGGCGCTAATCGGAGGTGCGGGGGGAAGAACAACAACGCGGCTCTCGGAGGCGTTTGTGGGGGGGGAGGGGGCTCGCGCAGAGACATCTGCTCCTGAAGAATCTCGCCGGCGCACGTAGCGAAACGTCGTACATCACGCCGAGCGACATCGGGTGGAGAGGGAGGGTGGGGAGAGGTGGAGGAAACGGATCCGAGAGCTAAAAACCACCTTTCGGTCAGAATCACCCCTCGCGATTTGCGACGTCGCGCCGCCCACGCGAGCGCCGCTCTCTCTCTCTCTGCCCGTTGCTCGGCAAGACGCACCTCGTGTTCAACAACAGAAATAAATTGTCGAGCGGGCCACAGGAGGGGGGCCCAAGGCAAAGTGGCAGTGAGGGGGGGGGGGGGGTTACTTTCGGGAGGTAAAAAGGGAGAACGAGTGCAAGGCAAAACGGCGAGGCGAGATGAGGTTGAAGGGGGCAAAGCCACACGGCGAGGATTTAAGGCCGACCATTCCCGCAGGCGACGTCAGGACTCGGCTTCCTGTTAAAGGCGGCGAACCCTATCCTCTCTCGATCGTCCGCTGCTGTATATAAAACGAGAACAATTAGAACTAACCAATCGCAAACGACGGACATGGACAGGCAAGGTGGGGGGGGGGGGGGGGGGGGAGGAGGTTTGTTTAATTGCCAAACAAAAAAAATAAACGTTTCGAGTTTCACAACCAACCTGGATGCTGCTGCCCGCGGGCGTACGACGGTCAACGCACTGAGGCTTGAAATCCGGGGGTCGCGGGTTCAAACAATGGGGGAAAGTTTCTTAAATGTGACCGGCTCTTGTCCACCCAGTGGAATAAAATGGGTTCGGGGGGCGGCCAGCCTCCGGAGCCGCATGCACGCGGCTATTTGAATGACTGCTTCGTGGCGTTATTTATTAAGGACCACCGGCTCTCACATTCACCACGTGGATGAAAAAGAAAGTTTTTTTGCTCCGCCGAATTCGAAAAGAAGTGCCCCTTTCTTGTTATCTTGGTTTGCCGAGCCCCGACTCAGTGAACCAGGAGGTGGCGGCGTTGGGTAACATGTCGGGAAAACTCCCAACAGTTCCAAGGCATCTTTGGCCACTGTGGAAGAGCAGGCCAAATACCCCTTCGAGAGCAGCGGTTCCCAACGAACGCAGAGGCCCGTGGGAAGCGGTCCACGGGAACTGCTGCATTTGCTACGATGCAGAGCGGTTTACATGTTTTTGTTTGTGGCAATGTTATTGGTGCGCGCGGTGGGGGGCAAACATTTGCTGAGGCTTGACAGCGACAGTCGGCTGATGCAGAGTGCTTGGGAACCACTACTCTCTCTCTCTCTCTAGGGGGGCTCTCTGGAGGCTTCCTTTCTGCCAACGGTGGGTGCCAGCAAGAAATTGCGTGGCTGCTCCTCTGCCTGTCGGTTATTAAAAAAAAAAGTGCAACTTTGAACGGGGTTTGCCTTGAGTGAGATTCGTCAGTGAATTGTGGTCTGCCTAAAGCAGCGCCGGGGGAGGGACCAGCCCGATGTTTGTGGCGTGAGCCGTGGTGCGAGGTTGGTTTGGTTGAATCAATTGTAAAGGCATTCGTCTGAAAGACCAATTGGTCAATTAATTGAACGTTCTTATTTGCTGCGTGGAATTAAAACAAACCTCCTTATCTGGGGCATTACACACGCGCACGCACAAGGTCCACATAAACGCCGATAACGTTTTGCACCTGACATTAGTACACAATTAAGGATCTGGATATTAAGGCTCATTGTTAAGGTAGACATGGCTTATATTATTCGTTAATTTACATCCGGGGGGAAAAAAACCCAAACAACTGTGCTTCACTTTACGACGATGAAAAGGGGTCTTCCCGATTCTTGTTTGCATCATCTTCCATTCATTTTTGGTAAGCTTCTTCTCCGTATCCACTGTGGTTTTAACTCAAGCAGGCTGTACAACGTCCGTTACACTTTCTATGTCTCTGCTCAATGTTACGTATGTTGAACTTCTTTCGCACCGTACGTAGCCAACCATGCTAATGCAAAGTATTCGCTGTTTTAGTGATTGTCCGTTTTTTTAAAAACAAAAAAATTCGTTACAAAATAAAAACCCTAACCCCCCTTTTTCGCCACTCTGCTGGCGAAGATCAGAAACACGTTCGACTCCCTCCCTCCTGGTCTCCTTGCGTGGCTCCCGCTCCCACGACAAGGCCCAGGGTGTGCTGCTCACCGCCAGCCCCAACAGCAGTGCAGGACTCCCCCCCCACCCACGCCCCCACCTCGTTCTCCCACCTCCTCTTCACTTCACAAAACAGCGACCACTCTTCCTCCTCTCCGAGGTCATCTCCTCTCAGTGTCCTCCTCCTCCTCCTCTTACTTCCAGTTGCTTCCATGACAAAAGAGGAGCTTGCCACCTACTAACTCTGAATGCCATTTTTTTCTTCTTCCGATTTCAATGTCTGAATCCTCCTGCGAAAGGGGAAAACGGAAAGAGAGGGATATTAAGAATCACAAACGCAACAGCGTTAACCGATGTTTGCCCATCTTGAAGCAGTGCTGCAGAAAAAAACTGTGCACTGCCAGAAGACGTGAGGTTGTTTAGAGCTGAACGTACGTTGGTTGGAGGGCAGGTAGAGTCGGTGGGCAGTGCGTGGTAGGTGGCTGGAGAGGTATGGAGGTAGAAAGGCAGAGGTCGCAACCGGGTACCCGATACCCGTACCCTACCTGATACCCGGCTACCCGTATCCGGCCGGGTACGGGTATCCGTTTGCGACCCTGGTGCGGCCGGGTACGGGTACAGGTAGGCCGTGAGTCACTGGTGAGTAACCGTTTGTCACTCATTTCGGGTAGGTGCGGCTGGGTACGGGTAAGGAATCAAAACCCGTTTGCGACCTCTGTCGAACGGTTAGTGGATTTTCCAGGTAGGGTAGGGTAAGGTGGCTGGTTGGTTCGGTAGACGATTAAGTGGGTGTGTGCGTATGTAGGTAGCAATGTCAGTACGAAGAAATGTTGGTAGCGAGGAATGTTGGAAGGTAGATAGGTGGATGGTAGGCATGGAGGTGGGGAAGTGGGTTATTAGGCAGGTAGTTAAGATAGCTGGGTAGTTAGGGAATTAGGTCAGCGAGTAAATAGGCAAGAAGTTGGGAGGGTGGCTACGTGGTCGCTTGGTAGTTGGTGATAAAAGTTGCTTCTTGTCCACATGCATTGTGCGACGAGACGTGATTACAGCGGAGCGTTAGCGTCACGCTCCGTTCACTTTTGGAAGTTCCACAACAACTTTCTGTAACCCTCCACAAGAAAGCCGCTCACCACCGTGGCACCAAACAGAGACGAAAGGGTAAACAAACATTTTAATTATCCAAGAAAGCAAACGCCTAATTACTTCTCTTACAAAATAAGTTCAGCGGGTGCGCGGGGCACGAGACTCCAATCAATTCCGTCAGATGTGCGCGCCAAGATATCACATTTGAGAGTGCCCTTTCATTTCGGCCCGGCTTTAAAATAGCACGCAGATTGGTTATTTTCATTCAGTAGCGGCGTGGCGCACAGCACGACATTCTGTGGCTCGCGGGTTGGCTGGGGGCCACGGTTGAAAGGGCCGCGTTTGCGGAGCACTAAGAATAGACGAGATTTTGAGGATGAGGAGAGGGGGGGGGGGGCGAAAAACGTTCCACAACAAATCGGATGACCGTAAAAAAAAACTATTTTATCTGTCGCCATGTTCTAAATCTCTTCTTTTGCTAGCCCACACCGCAATGCCCCCCCCAACCCCCCCCCCTTCCCCATTGGAAACCTCAACACAACGGGGGGGGGGGGGGGGCTTCTGGTCCGCAGGCCGCCGTATCTGGTGCTGCCACTTGCCATTCAGAAAAAAAATGGGGGAGGGTATCAGCTCTGTACATCTTTGCTTACACTGCGGGGCTTGTGTAGCGGAGACCGCACAGACAAAAAAAGCCCGCGCACAATCACCCACCGCCCGTCGGTTATAAAGGAGCCATTCCTGCCGTCGCTTTACCTCGTCTCAGGCTGTGACCGTAACACAAAAACCATCGACAAAGAATACCCCATAGAGCCTTAACAGACTGTTGGGGCAAGGGCTGCTAGCGGGCACCGATGAAGTGGCCAGCACCAAGCCCGGCCGCCTTTGTCTCCATAGCGGCGATGTTTACACACCGCACTAGGTACTGATTTGAGGCTAAGTCGACCTAGGGGAGGCCGATGACTGGTTCGGATAATCGCCACTGGTGTTGGCCGTGAGCGGGAATTAAACTCGGGCCGCGGGATTCGTAGCGTGGCGCAGCGCGCTAACCGCTACACCACCATAACACACACACGTGCGCATGTCAATGCAAAGATGCTCGCATAGGCGTACAGACTGTTGGGGCAAGTGCTGCTAGCGAGCGCACATTAAGGCCGGAACAGCACAGGATGGTGCAGGGTGGTGTGGCTCCCAAGCACCGCAATGTTTCACACATTGTGCCAGTTACTGAATTTAGGCCGAGTCTATTTCGGGGGGGAACACTCAAACAGATTTAGATACCATAAGCCATTTTGCTGTTATTATAATAATGCAATATGATGATGATACGACCTGTAACATGTACAACATTTTCACGGACATAAAGGACGGCTAACGCTGACGCTGTGGTTCAGTGTCGCTCGAAGGTCAGGTGAGAGCAGTGGGGGGGGGCCTTTAAGAGTCCCCTGTAAGGAGGCGGCTAAGATCCAGTGGCTGCTCAGTGACTAGTTTAGTAGTTTAGGATGCCGACAGCAGTGCTTACCCAAGCTTCTCCAAATGCGTTTCCTATTTGGATAAAGGAGTAAAAGTTCTACCCTGTGATGTTTCCTGAGTTATACTACTTAAAGCAGGCGTGAATGTCGCTTCAGGTTGCTTGCTTTCGAGCTTTTTCAAATAGGGTCCAACATCAATAATTATAACATTCAATGTATTTTATTTGGTAAACATCAATAGAATTTACATGGTCTGGGTCACCACCTCCTTGCAGCTGCCACTGCACAATATCTATATATTTTAGCCCTTACATGCTGCCTAGATCAAGTGATGTGAAAAACCAAAACATCAGATTTTTTTACCCGGGGGGGCGACGTGCGGTGTTTGTGGGAAAATCAGGTGCGGCAGCTTTGAGTGACAAAAGAAAATAATTCCCCTTCTGATTTAAAGCTTTCGTGACTGCAGGGATGATTCATATTCTTGGTTCTTTCGGTAAAGTCACGTAGAAGGGAAACAATAAAATAATATTTTATTATAATATATTTTTATTATTTTATTGTTTCCCTTCTATGTGACTTTACCGAAACAACCAAGAATATGAATTCCCTTCTATTTATATTCCCGGGGACAACGTGACGTCTCCGAGACCAACGGGGAGTGGCTCAATAATCTCAAGGTCCACCACGAGTCGACCGTCTGCACCTGTACGATGTCGACACTCCGTCATACAAGAGGAGCATCGACCATGGCCACGCGAACTCCGGTCATCATACTCGCAGCGGCGGATTTTGGCTCAGCCATTGAACAAAGACGGTTGCCGCATCGCGCGTATTCGGACGCTGCTTCTGCGGCCGTCTGGAACGCTCTTCCCTTCCGATATTAGGAAGCCACTGGAGGCTACGCACTTTTAAATCTAGATTGCAAAATTCGTTTCTCCAGAACTGCTTTTTGTCTTTAGTTTGTTGTCCTTCCCCCGCACCTCCGATTAGCACAGTTGGCTACATAGGGTGTGAATGAAGTTCAACATACACGTACATTGCATGCTATCAACACCAGATCATGTGCTCCTGTCCACCGCCACCACCACCGCTACCGCTAAGGACCAACACCCCCCCCATTCCTCTCATGTTGCCAGGCTGCTTTAAGTGGGATGTTGTGGTGAGCACCACTTTGCTATGTATAACAACATCACAAGGGGCACCCTAATTATAATCAACAGCTGTGTGCATTAGAAGGGTAGGGGAGAGACGGGGGTGGGGGGCAGCCTCGACGGGGAGCAGTGACACCCTGATTAGAGGGGCGTAGCTCTTCGCTGTTTTGTTTTCCGTTGCCATACCGATGCACCCTAAATTAAAAGTCCGTGCTAAGTGTGCGCGCGTGTGTAGTGCATCTGTGCGCATGTGCCCGAGTATATGCATGCGATTTTCGTGGTTGGGATTTGTATACGTGTGTGTGTGTGTTTGCAGAGTGTATACGGTGGGGAGCGGTGGTGTCGCGGTTAGCGCGCTGCGCTACGAACCCGGCGACCAGAGTTCGATTGCCGCTCACGGCCTACACCGGTGACGATTATGTGAACCGGTCCTGGGCCTCCCCTAGTTCGACTCAGCCTCAAATGAGTACCTGGTGTAGTGTGTAAACATCACCACCGAGGAGACAAAGGCGGCCGGGCGTGGTGTTGGCCACCTACCCCCTCGTGTGTCGTACAGGCCTTCATAGGTACTCGCTAACATCACTTGCCCCAAGTCTGTTAAGGCTATACGGGGGATCTTTGTCTTTGTTTGGAGTGTACACATAGTTGGATGCTGGCCATTCCTGTCCGTCAGCCACACTACTTTGGTTCTGTCCCATGACCTCCCGTCAGTAAGCCTTTACCCACTCTACGCGGCATTGCTGTGTGCCCCTGAAGCCTAAAAAACAATGACCACACAGCGTTGGTGGCAGTACAGGCGCAGGTCAAGGTGAACAAGTCAATCGCTGCCAATGATGTGGTGACCTCTTGCAGCCGTCGTTGCAATGTTGACACCTGAGCACCAAGATCCATGCTTGCAGTGTCTCACCACCAGCTGGCTTTTAGCTAATTTCTTTAGAACTGATTTTTGTTTGCTCGTTTGCTGTCCTTCCCCCGCACCCCCGCTTAGCACGGTCGGCTACGTACGGTACGGAAGTTCAACATACACATGAGTATGGGTCTCTTGTGGATCTCTGTGGGTCTCTATGGGTCTCTTCCTTCCGATATTAAGAAGCCACTGCAGTTATGCACTTTTAAATCTGCGTTTGAATCTCGTTTCTTTAGAACTGATTTTTGTGTTCAGTTTGTTTTCCTTCCTCTTGCACCTTCGATTAGCGCCGTGCTAATCCGAGGTGTGGGGAAATGTCCAAAGAGGTGTGATGTGTGGCTCCGTTCATGGCAACGCGTAGCGTAGCGAGCTCGTCAATGCCGCACTGGGGAGCGGCGGCGCAGCGGTTAGCGCGCTGCGCTACGAACCCCGCGGACCCGAGTTCGATTCCCGCTCACGACCAACATGCGCAGCACGTTGTTCGAGCGCACGACAACTCTTCACCGTCGTGAGTTGAGAGCCGGGTTAAGAGGGTGCAGTGTGGCCACGACGATTGGTAGAGCTGGCATATAGGACGAAGTAAGTGTAATTTACCATTTGTTTATGACGAACCTCAACGTTGTGGTTCAATTGTCAAGTTGAAAATGAGAATACACTCCTGCGATAATTACTGCTCACAAAGCAGGGCAGAAGTTTAAAACAATAGATTAATCAAATCCCTCTGTTTTTTTTTTGTCGTGCAGCCACCCACCCCATCTGTTGAGTGTCACTCTTGGCGTCTCTACGCTACCATTATATTTGCCCTTTGTCTGTGCAGTTTGTCCGAGCGACAATCTTCGCTCAGCTGTCCAGGGATTTCCTTCGCCAATTTCTGGCCTTCACTGATGCAAAGCAGAGCGGGGCCCGTTTGAAGTTCAGTGCTCGTGCAGCTGTTCTATCATTGGCCGAAATTGTGTCACAAGGGACCGCTTTTCGGCCAATCACCGCGTGGCTGTGATGGCAGATGCTGGCAAGTGGCCTCTGGGTGCAGCGATTTCTGAAAAATGTACCTCCAAAGTAAAACACACTGAATTTTTTTTATAATTGTATTGTATTGAAAATAAAAATAATAATAATGATAATCTGCCGAAAGTGTGCCCCTCATGCAAAGGGAATATTAATGTTAATTCATAAAATAGTTGTGGGACGTCGCTGTTAATTCATTATAGGTGGTGCCACTGCTCGCTGCTAGAGTTTAAAATGAAAATATCTTTGTCTCATTGAATGATGCCGAAAGCACAAATGGCATATATGAGTAAAACAATATAAATTGGTGTGTCATGATTCACTTCCCTGCCCCACGTCCCAACCTCCACCCAATGAACTGTTACAATTTGGAGTCAACATTTGAGATGTTAACTACGTCGCCTGGTATACAGGAGATCAGGGCTTCAATCCCAATCCTGGCGCCTGTATAAATATCTGTGGTCGCGTGGATTTTTCTCCGGGTCCTCCCGTTTTCCCTTCCACATTTAGAATCAACGTCACGCATTTAGAGTATTTTGGCGGCTATAAATGTCCACATGATCGGCCACTTCGTCGAGCTATCATTTGTGATAGCCAGATCGCTTCTGAAAAATAGCTACATAGCTCAGTGGGCTTTACCTGGTATTAGTTTTGTCACATCTGAATGGCCCCCCATTCGTTGAGTGGCACCCATTCAAACCGTTAAGGAAAAAAATATTTTGCCACGTTCTTAAACCAACAAGCCCTGAGCGCGAGCGTCCAGTTCACGCGACGAACGCACGCACGTACGATGTTGAACTTGATAATTGTTTTTTTACCCTTCTATCTGGCAACAAATGTTTGCATACACCACAATACCTATAGCCATATGCAGGTATTGTGGTCTATGCAAACATGACTCCTTGTAAAAAAAGGTGTCAGTTTTGTTGCCAGATAGAAGGGTAAAAAACAATTATCATATTTTTTATGGCAAATGAGGTTCCAACGGTGATGTTGAGCTTCTTTCTCAAACGTACGCAGCCGACCGCGCTGATCCGTGGTGAAGGTGGTCGGCGGGGGGGAAGGACAACAAACGACTCTGGTGGCGGAAGCGTCGTCATCACGTGCTTGGCAAGGCACGACAGCGACGCGTCATTCGCGCAAGGACAAGGTGAACCAAAGTGCTCATTACCCCCAGACGATGGTGCCGCGTCGCTATATGATGGGGCTCGCTCCTGCCTGGTACGAGTCGAGTGCCTGCGTCGCCAACGCCGAAGCTGTGGAACGGATGGCACAAACACACACACACCGCACCTACGATTAGCGCGGTTGGCTACGTACGGTGCGAAAGAAGTCTAACGTGCATGGAGACAAAGATAAAGACCACCCCCCCCACCTATATAGCCCGTAACAGACTGTTGGGGCAAGTGCTGTTAGCGAGCAGCACCTATGGAGGCCGGCACGGCACACGAGGGGGTGGGTGGCCATCACCACGCCCGGCCGCCTTTGTCTCCCCCAGTGGCGATGTTTACTACACACCGCACCAGGTACTCATTTGAGGCCGAGTCGACCTAAGGGGAGGGCCCATGACCGGTTCAGACAATCGTCACCGGTGTTGGCCAGTGAGCGGGAATCGAACTCGGGTCACCGGGTTCGTGTGCGCAGCGTAGCGCTGACCGCTACACTACCGCTACCCTACGTACGTACACGCGCACGGTGAACGAGCTGAGCGTCAGCCCCACTCGGCAACGGCGGCTCAAGTGCCGTGGCGCTGCACGAGTCGGCCGTGGTTGTCGAGTTTTTATTTAGATGTCGTCACGGACGATGTCGTGGATATCCATGGAACCTTTTTGTCCAGTTTAAAAAATCATGAAGGAACACGAATAATCGGAAGAGGTTTGACCCTTTCTGGCGATAAAACAGGAGTCGTGTTAAGATGCTCAAACACCAAACAGATCCCTTTTGCAAGGAATAAAGTCTGCATTAACCACACGTACTTGTGGCAAAATATGAAGAAAAAACACATGCTCTGATAAGATTATGCATCGGCCCTTGAAAACAATTGGCCTCGGGATGGCGACACGGCCTAACGCAAGCGCCATCAACTCTCGCTTGTGAAAACAAAATGAACGTGAAACTCGAACTTTGGATCCTCAAATAAAAAACCGTCGAGTGGCCGTGTTCTACATTGGCAAGAACAGGCTCCTTGTCGTGCACAGGAATTTTCCGCCAGCGATCAGGCTCGCAGCGTTAAGATGTAGCCGTGGGCAATATCAAGAGTGCTACGGCTATTGCATCTCCAAGCAACACGAAAACAAAAAGAGAGCTGAGATTAACACAGTTTTAATGCGGTATTCATATTCACAGATTTGTTTTTTTTTTTTTGAGGTGGCCAGGTTACTCCGGAGGGATAATAAATAGCGCATCGGCAGCATTTAGCTGGCACTGCCGAGACCCAGGCTTCGATTTCCGGCCGTCAGCCCGTGATTTAATGGCGTTCTGAAGCGAAGCGAGTTTTACGGGCTCAACTTAGTCACCAATCACCGCACAACCACCCACCCAAAAAAAATATACGATCGTAATAACTTTTGTTAAAAGTCGCTTTACTTTGGCAAAGTCCAGCAGTGAGATTTTTTTTTTTCTCAGAAAAATATGAAAAGAAAGAAAAACTATCGGTTGTAATTGACGCAACCGATCTCAACCCAACTCAAACACCCTCCTCTTGTGAACGAACGAGAACGCACGCGCAAAAAAAAAAGTTACGGAAAGTTGCAGGTCGTCCAGAAACAAACAAGAGGTGATTTACATGCAGCAAAAGAGGCATGACCGTGACAACTCTATCACTCCTCCCGCCCGTGCATTTCATGTCACGCGGCGTCCCCCACGCCGAGCGCGTAACATTCTCGCAATCTCGACGGGCAGCTCGACCACCGCGGTCGCGTGTTATTTTAGACGGCGGCGACGACGCCGCCAACGCATTCACCACGTGGATGACAAAGAAAGTTTTTTTGCTCCGCCGAATTCGAAAAGAAGTGCCCCTTCTTGTTATCTTGGTTTGCAGAGCCCCGAGTCGGTGAACCAGGAGGTGGCGGCGTTGGGTAACATGTCGGGAAAACTCCCAACAGTTCCAAGGCATCTTTGGCCACTGTGGAAGAGCAGGCCAAATTCCCAACCCGCGGTCAACGAACGCAGAGGCCCCCGTGCGGTTTCCCATGCCCGTTCAGGATCTCGTGATCAGACTCTTTATTGGGACTGCAGGAGGAGGAGGAGGAATCCGGTGAGCCATGAGACTCTTTCTGTTTTCCGCAGATGTCTCCAGCAGAGGCCCGGAGAGAGGGGGGGGGGGGTCGGCAAGTGAGAAATATAAAAAACGACAGGAGTGCAAAATAGTGAAAAAGGGTATCAAGTCAAGAAAAAATATATAGATATATAAACCTCATTTATCAAGCTTGGGCAAGGCAGCATAAGCGACAACAAAAACAGTGCCAGGCCACACCAAGATAACGCCACACAGCGGTGGTAGTCCCTCAATAAAACGCGTTGTGTTCGTGGCGTGTGAATAAGAGGCCGACAGAAAGAACTTTCCACGGTAGTTTTATGATCCTCGCCGATGTTGTTCGGTGGCGCACAGCTCCCTGCGACGTTGCCGCCCAATCGCACGGCGGGAATATAACAGCAGTGAAGCATACGAAGAGAGGCGTGACACAGGCGTACACGCTCACCATATGAGGGTGCGCGGTGGCGAGACGTTAACTCCCACGCCTGGTATACAGGAGGTCGTGGGTTCAATCCCGACCCTGACGCCTGTAATATTTGGAGTCTGCATGTCTCTCTCTCCCCCGTGGTCACGTGGATTTTACTCCGGGTGCTCGAGTTTTTCTCTCCACGTTTATAATCGACAGCGTGCGTTTAGAGTACTTGGCTGCGATAAAATTTCCACGCGATGATAAGCCCACTACGCCGAGCTATTATTTGTGACAGGTCGCTTTTGAAAAAGAGCTATATAGGTCAGTGGGCCTTACCCTGGTAAAATAAAAAAAATTGTTTTAAACAGCAGCAGTAAAGTGACTCCCGTGCACGCTGTGACGAGTCTACGCGAGGCGCTCTCACGAGCAAGCGTCCCGGCGAAGCACAACCAACTCTTCAAAAGCGCGCCGTGCTGTTCCACGCCGTGCTGCGTCGTGCCGCGCCGTGTAAATAGCACGGCGAGGGGGTCGCGGTGCGAATTGGGCAGTTGTAGAACTGGTGGCGGTGAGGCCCAGGTGAAAAATGTGGGCGCGCGGCGGCGGTGGCGTCAGGGGTGACGTCTCACTTTGACCGCCGGCTTCCCCCGTGGCCGAGCGGCGACAGGAAGAGGGCGAGGGTGACAAATGAAAGGGGAGATAAACGCGGGAGACACGGCGGGGCCCGAAAACAACTGCACGCTTCGGACGGCACGCAGCCATCGCCATCGCCCGTCAAGGACCCAGCCTCCCAGTTCCTGGTCACGGGGCCTCGATCCATTTACCGTAGACTGCACCAACAGAAATTAACGCTCTACGTTCGCTAACGCGCTTACCTTGACCACAGGCCTTCCATGGGTTGACTCATTGTTACAATAATAATAATGCCCGAAACTTGCGGGGAGGCCACGGACATTGAGTTGCTAATGTGGCAGGTCCGGTGGCGTCTGGTTTTGAATTATAGTCAAGTTGTTGTCGTCGAGATATTGTCGGTGCGTCTCCGGGTTAGCACGGTTGGCTACATACGCTGAGAAAAAAATTGCAACGTACATGGACTTGCGTACATGGGTGTCACGGTGAAATTCATCTCGTGGTGTCATCTTGTCGGGACGAACGGTAAAACAGAACTGGCCAGACATGCCTAGACACACAACACCCGCATGAAAGAGAGTCTAAGAGACTCAGCGAGGCTTTCCTGTGGAAATATACATTATTATCTATTCGGGTATTGCCGAGTAGCGGCGCAGTGGTTAGCGCACAGTAACATGAGGACGCCAACCTAAAGTTCGATTCCCAGCCACGACTGACATCAGTGATGGGTTGACACCCTCATTTCACCGACCAGCGTGGTGAAGTTTCGGTCAAACCAACCCCCACCAGCGACATGACGTTGAGGGACCTTCCACCGAGCAGTGCATTGACAGCGGGCGATAAATTATTACTTTTATTGTTACACACGACGTAATACAGAAACATCAACTGACCAATGCCTTGGCCCCCGTATTAAATATGGCTCTACATTCATTTAACCTCGACACGCAAATAGCGCCGTCGCAAATATGCCCAGAAGTCATTTTTAGCAACGCGCACAAAACGCGCGACACACGGAAATGTGCGCAGCTGTCATCGCGAGCTAAAAAATAGACCTGCAATGTCAGAGAACACGAGGTCGCTATTTTCAGGGAGCGCGGGTTCACGGCACCGCCAGCCATGTGTGGGGGGGAGGTGAGGGGGTAGAGGGCGATGGGGGGGGCGGCTATTTCTGTGCATCTGGGGCGCTCGCAAGTGCGGCGCGCGCCCACACGTGGACAGTGTGCACGTAAATCCACGTGTAATTACGCCGAGGTTGCTGACAGCTGTAAAACTGTCGGGAGAGGGGAAAAAAAATATCGCACGTATGTAGTATACGCCGCATCCGGAATGGGGGGATGAGCGCAGCGCACGTGACTCGCGATTAGAAGGTCGCAAGTTCAAATCCAGTCTGAAGTGGAGGGATAACTCTGCCTCGATCGGCCTCGTCCCCCACCCACCCACCCTTCTCATCTCCTCCGGAGGAGAAGTGAACACGACGAGTGCCAACTTGGTGAAAAGTTCACAGTGGTCACCCCGACGCAGTGGCGGCACTCGCCGTGGGCCCGAGGGTGATCGGAGGATGACCACTACGAGGATGACCACTACGAGGATGACCGCTATGAGGATGACCACTACGAGGATGACCGCTATGAGGATGACCGGAGCTCGCGTGATGGTGGTTTATGCCCGTACGCCCGACTGAAACTCGACCGGCAGAGACTTAATGAGGGCCCCTCCCCTTACAATCACAGGACCGGCTGGATGGATGGCATCCCGTCCTCTCGTCCGCAATAGGTCAACCTCAAGTTCTGGAGGTCGTCTCAGCCACTGCCACTGATGCGAGCTGCTTGCCAGCACCCCGCCACCCCCCCAGCCCCGTGCGTGCGTCCGCTTCAAGGCGGACGTTCAAAGATTCCCAGATTGCTGCGCGTAAAGCACTGGGCCATGTGCCACTGCCGCCCAGTTGGCCAAATTCGAAAATG